ATAAATATGTGCTATTTCCACGGTGTACTCTGCGTTGGAAATAGTACATATTACCCACTTTGGTTTGTGGGATGCATATGTGTCGTGTGTGTATGTATGTGTGTATGTTTCGCGTACATGATACATATGCATATGCATGTATGTACGTATGTGCATGCCATGCATGTACACAACATAACGATTCGTATATACCTATATTAAATACCAACTACAATAAATCCTTGTGTGCCACCCTTCTCAATCATTGTCTATTTCAATTTGCATATTTACCTCATGGTAAATATGCAAATTGAATGTAGGTTACATGCATTACCTACATTGACATCTATACAACTTATTGTACTAATTCTTATAATACTCTAGTCCGTGCTGTTTCCTGAGGTTCTGTCTGGCAACAAGCCTAGCTTAGCCGGACGGAGCCAAGGGTTTCGGCAATAAAAATAACCTTGCAAGAACATGACCAGGCATGCTTTTCCCCACCTTGAGTATGAATGCGTATTGCGTTAATTACTAACACTGGTATAAATGATAGTTGCTTGTGTTGGTATAGTGGGCAGTCATTTTGCTTCACTTGGCAATGACTACTTTCCTCCTTTTTGGCGTACTTACTAACATTTTTTAGTAGTATTGCATGCGTTATATTTTATTTATATTTTCCACTTCTTAGCAGGGAGTGCCGCGACTTGATCAATTTGTTACGTTACCTGGTGTTAAAGTAAGGTCTCTGTGCGTCGCCGGGACTGTGGGAGGGGGCACTCCTGGTTACCTGATCATGGGTAACGGACTATCTTAGAAAAAAAAATGGTATCTAACAGTTTTTCGCAAATAACTTTTGATAGAGGCATGCTAGAGCGATGAAAACGCCTTAGATGTGTTCAGCTCGACGATACGGATCGACTGATATGCAACATGACCCTTTCCGGTCAGGTCATGACCTTGACCTGAGGTCAAATTTTCAAGTTGACCTTTCAAGGTCAAGTTATAGTTCATTCGATGCGTCTTGACGAGAGGAACACGATGCCGGTAAAAGTAAGCTCGTACAGGGCTTTGGTCAAAAGTTATTGCAGAAAAACTGTTTCCGAAAAAAATCGGCTATTTTTGCAGTTTTTGCCCCCTGCAGGCAAAACCGTTGACGTTAGGTCAAATCTGAGAGAATTACTCAGAAAGGGCGTTAATAGGGCTATCGAATGCGCTTTTCCGCGGCGCTGTAGCTCTATTGGTTCCCGAGTTATGCGTTGGCTTCTTGGAAATTTTCGACATTCGACCTGGAAATCGGCGAAATTTTGCCTTCAATGACCTCTGGTGACCTGACCTTTGACCTGACCAAAAAATAATGACCTCTGGTGACCTGACCTTTGACCTGACCAAAAAATTGACTGAAGTGATTTCGTCATTATTTTTGACGCTCTTTCGAACGCCGCCTTCCGCGTATCGCTACGTGGCCCAGGAGCCAAGTTACAAGGGGGGGGGGTGTTCAAACCCCCCCCCCCAGCAGGGCGTGGAAATCCAGGACCCCCAGCCGGGCGCGGGTTAACACGCGCACCGACGGGGGGCGGATATCCGCCCCCCCTGAGTTTTTTTGCGAATATCGAGAAAAGCGCGGCGCTGGCGGCGCGAAATTTAGTACGACTATTCTCTCATCAATTGTACACATGGTGTGCAAGTTTGAACCTCCTAACTTCAAAGGTCAGGTCAGCAGGTCACTTTGAATGACCCAACCTCAAGTCACTTTTTTGCAAATTTGTCACCGTGCCAGAGCTACAGTAGATGTCGGAGGCCTTTGAAAGTCGCAGGATGTTATTAGGTCATTAGTAGCTACAAGTTGTATGTCTCGGAATTGTGATATCGGTGACCTAAGGTCAGGTCAATTTCGCGACCTCCCCATTATAAGTCAATGGGGGAAAAATCAACTCCCTGTTTTTACCACTAAAACGAGTCGGAATGGCCCAATATACCATACATGACTTTATATACGATCAACCTTCACTACCTTGACGTCTGTTCTGCTGTTGGGCAGCTGTAAGGTCATGTGACGTCATCAAAGGTCACCAACGGTTTTTTGTTAATAACTCCGTACAGGAACAAGATATACAGCCGCGCGGATGGTCTCATTGTGTTCAGCTCGTCAAGACGCATCGAATGATATACATGATGACCTCGAGGTCACGTGACCTGAGGTCAACCTTTGACCTTGACCTTTCGAGGTCAACATATACATCATTCGATGCGGATTAACGAGAGGATCACGATGATGCCCTTAGATTGTTCCTATCTTGACTAGATCGAAAGTTATTCGAGAAAAACTCTTTCCATATCTAGCGCGGCCATTTTAACTTTTTTGACCCCCTGTGACGTTATCTTTGACCTGACAAATGACCTGAGTAAAAATTGTAGACCTTGTCCGTGCGTATCTCATGCCGTTTACCACTTGTCGCTATCTTGCTTCGTTCTCGAGATCTCAGGGGGGGGGGGGGTGGTCATCCGCCCCCCCCCCCCGTCGGTACGAAGTTGGCGCAAACCCCCGTCGGTGCGCGTGTTAATTTCCATAGCTTTAGTAAGATTCAAACATCTATCCATCGCCTTTTTTGAGAGATCAACAGACATAATCGGCGTTGAAGTGACTGGTCGAGTTATATAGTTATATATGCCATGGAACCAAGAGTGATTTTTATCTTCATGTTTTGCGTTCAGATGTTGCAAGAACCATAGATAAAAAAAAAAAATTGTCTCTTGTGACCCAATGGTATCAGAAGTTCTCATATTTTCTCCCTCAGATCCTGGTAGAGGAGTCAACGATTCCCTGCGAAAAAGCACACCCTATATGGTGCAATTTTTATGAATAGAAGTGAGCCGGTAATTTTTTCTGCTGTCCTCATAGAAGACTAACATCATCCGATATCCTCCTCTTTCGAGTTTACCTGCATGTATTGCTCGAACTTTGCCTTGATTGGTTACACAACATTTGTGAAATGGGTCTAAACGGTCAGCTACTCGGAAGCAGTTTCATAAAACGAGGGCACTTGTGCAGTTTGGTGTACCTTTCGCGCCTTCTTTGAGCTGTTCTACCGCTAACAAGTTCCTCCAACTGTTCTACTAAAACTCAGCCGGTGACCGCGTTCCCATACAAGTTACACACAATCTTCTCCGATGGCTGTCACCTTCAGCGTTTTACAACTGGAGACTTGGGACGCAGTGTGTGACATTTAGTGACGTCATGACGTCAACTGACCTCCAGCGACCCGTGGCAAATGTTGCTCACTTCAAGCGGCGCTGAGCCTTTGTGCTTGCTTCCGGGTGTATCGTTCCAGCTATGCCGGGGTTAGGCGGTCAAATATATAGCGAGTCACAAAACAAGTTATTTTTGGTTGGACGTACGGCCATCTGTAAGGCTGTGGTCTATTTACGTTATGCTTGTGTACTAATATAGCTGTACTCGCAATTCGTATCATGCTACAATAGTATCATAACTATATAAAACACCTTCAACGTATGATATAGTTGTTTGGCCCTGGTAATATGAGTCGATTCGAAAACCCTTATTAGAACAACCGGCTACATTAGATATACTCTCCGTTTGACGATGTTTGCAACATACGTTTTGACCTCCAGTGTTTCAGGTATTGTGTGTGACCTCTGGTGACCTCTGCATAACGATCTCCCGTGTCCCCGTACCTCTCCTACCGGTTGCCGGTGTCTGTCTCGCCCCGACACGACCCGTCCCCCTCCCTGCCTCCCTCCCAGAGGCGTGGCAGTTTCTCACGAGGCTGGGAGCACTTTGTCTTCTTTCTGCACGGCGAAATGATAGCAGGCTACGGTGCAGTGCGAAAAGTGGCATCAGATACGCCCCGGAAACGACATATAAACGCTAACTAGAATGCCACAGATATTTAAATAGGTTGATGACTGTTGAGGTTTGTTATAATGATGAAATTAACCAGTAACTTAGCATTAACATGGTTCATTTTGCTTTGAATAATTTGGATTGTAAAAAATAAAACCATTTTGATATTGCCGATTTAATACACAATACGATTGTCTGGCTGGGAGGCTAAGCAATTCATTTCTGTCTGCTATCGATGTCCTATAAACGTCATGGCACGTCACACCAGGTGACCCTGCGCGACCTGCCCACAGGATGTCACGCTCACGACTTCCCCACCCTCGTTCGGTGACTCAGGCTCTATATCAGCCTCTGTTGCTCCACTGAACATAAACATCAGTGTGATCGGTTGGATGACAGAGGCGTGGCAGCTGTCGACAGAAAACACAGTTTATGTGGTGCAACGGGAGGCTGCCAGATGAAAACAGCTGTCAACAGGCGTGGTGCATTGATTGGTGGCTGGGATACTTGTTCTGCGGGATTTAGGGGAATGTTTAGGGTCAGGTCGTATAAACGTTGCAGTTACATGCATTGTGCCGATGAACCTTTTTGACGGAGCAGGATTGTCGCGTGGGAAAGAAGGCATGACAACTGGTTTTCGCGTGATGGTGAGTTTTTAGGTGTCGTTGACGTTACCAAAGTTGCAACTCGCAGCAGCCTTTTTCCTTTGCCCGATTACCAATGGCATAGTTTTACACCACGCTGTTGACTGATATGCGGGGTGGCTGGCTGGGACAAACCAGCGCATGTACGTCATCGAAGTATTTTGATGAGTAGATCTCCAGAGTTTGCCCTGTATTGGTACTGAAGTCCTAGCGATAAGAGCCATAGCTTTTACGCATTATCGTCCTCTTTTTTCACTGCTCTTTGCTGCTGTACTTGATTGCGACAATCACGTTTGCTGAGAATGGTGTTGCTAAATCAAGACCAACGTACTTACCTTCCCCGTAATGTCATTTGGTTACCATTCTAGGTAAATACCTTGCCCAATGATGGCAATTGACAACTCTGGGAAGAACCTCTGTGGTTTCATAAGTAAGAAACCTTACCAGCCACTTTTCGATGGCTCCCCAGGTAATATTCTCTCAGTCCATCCAATTAGTTGGTAGTTGGTACCCACCTGTGTCATAAGGAATGTGACGTCGGTCGCCATGACGTAAATCAGCAACTAGGTCCAGCACTCCGGGAAGCTGTAGTCCACTGCGACAGCCATGCTGTTGAGACCAGAAGTGTCGTACACAACCACTCACGTTCACCAGCACCGAATATAACGGCATATAACGTCATTAACCACGAGCAACCGCTGAGAACACGAGCGTTCCACACGTGATGAGAACAGCTTAGCACCTCCTCACTGCCACTCGTACCCACAGATGAGGCGCCACTTCCCCACTTCAGCTGCAAACACCCGCACCTCGCGACCTTCACTGCGCACCTGGATGGGTCGCGGCCGAGCCCCCGCCGGCGCTGTGCTAACGGCCCGCTGCAGGTGGCAATGCCGAGAGCTGTGTTTATCTTATCTGAGACGACTGCAGGGCGGACCGAGATGTGGCTCTAGCCTGCACTGCATGCTGCCACAGCCGCCGTGGCGGCCGCGAGGGGAGGAAGGTGTACGCTGAGGCGTTGGGCCGGGAGTGCTAGTAACGTTATTCCATAAGCGTTATTCATCGACAAAATACACCAGTCAGAGCTTATAACTCTGGGTAGTTCCAGACTTCGGAAATGTGTAGCTGAGACGGCCACTAAGCGTTAGCTGAGGTGGAGTCTATACCTGCTTTCTTTACGTCTCTGCTTTGGGGATGCTTCCACGGCCACCGGTGCTGTAGAACAAGCTGTGCGCTGTTTGCAAAGCAATGTCCGATCTTACAGCTTTGAGGCTGTGGTGCTCATACTGTTTTATATGATTATACCGGTGCTGGGAATTAGATAATTATCCTCGACCTGATTTCTGATGTCATCAGTGGTCTCTGGGCATACGCGAGAATGTTTGAGTTGACAGATTTTCAGGGACATTAACCCTATTAGTGGCAGGGGGGGGGGTTGTTTTATCCACCCCTCAGGTTTTTCGGGAATATCTCCGAAACCGCTGAAGCTACGATGCTGAAATTTTCTGACTTTTCCTAAAACTAAATTGGGCACATTCCCTGAAAATTTCAAGTTCATACCTTTACCAGGGGCGGCTCCAGAGCACTGGGAATTGGGGGTCCTATTCGTGAAGCGAGTCATTTGGGCGAAGATTACGATGCTGCACCAGTTTTACGAACAGTGAATGAAAGGTATCATGTGATAACATATACAAAGTTATTGTGCATCCTCTTTTGACACGTTTTTGCTATAATAGGCGGATCCAGGCGTCCAAAAAGGGGGGTTATTTTTTACCTCCCAACATAGGTGCCCTGACACCGCCTATGCATGACCAATACAATTTTAGTCGTTCTCTCATAAGAAAATTGTAACATAACAAGACCATTGCCACCCTTTTTAGAAACAGTACCAACAAAAACCTTATTTACTATACTTTTTGTGTACCCCCAATCTCAATTATCTGTATCCGCCTATGATTTTTGAAAATGCATATTTTTAGGATCCATGTGAATTCTTGGTTCATTCTCTATCGATCGGCAAAAGTTGCGTTAAGATTGGTTCAGAAACCTGGCCGTAATAAACAGTCTAAAATGTATCTGCAATTTGCCCGTTTTTACCCCCCTCTACCCCCCTATTGAAATTTTTAATTTTCATTTGTTTAGAAATGTAGATCACGTTGAGCGAAATCGAATGCCGTTTGAATTTTGAAAATCGGCCCGTTAGATCTCGAGATATCAAGGGGGGGTCGTAAACAGCCCCCCCCCCCTGCCACTAATAGGGGGTAGCCAGGAGCCTGCCACTAATAGGGTTAACCCGAAGTACAAGAGTTAACCAGTTTGTAGAACCACCATCAGTTGATTACGATATGGAAATTACCTAGTGCGAGCATAATCATGGTGACATGGGATTGTCCGGATAATGAGATTTACGTAAGGAAGCTTACGTAAGGGCGCTCAATTTTCAAAGCAAATGCATGAGCGTAATCACATATACATCAGTGAGTGGATCACGGCACAGACTCAGGACATGTAATAGCCGTCATGGTGACGTAGCTCACGTGGGCTGCATAGTTGAGCTATTGACAAGCTTAGTTAGTTGATACTGCCGAGTACATATTATGTGGGCGCTCATCGTTCGGCTCATTACTTCAAAGTTGATCATGTGTGCCATTATAATGACTGATAGGATATAATATAAAAAAATGTTATGAAATTATACGATAGATAGATATCAATGTTATCTAGCTAAATATATTCAATCTATAACATTAACCCATTAATGCCGGAATTTTTATTTTTTGATTATTTAGTTGTCCTTAACAAATGTTAGCCACACGGGTCCCAGTAAGAAAACTGTGCAAGCTTAAAAAAATTGTTCCATCGGTTCTCAAGTTATAAGTATGGGTCATAAATGACCCAACCGGCATTGGCATAGTCACAAATAAGGAGTTATCACGAAAACCGATTTAGCTAGATACCTTATTGTATACTGTATAGCGGTCTCAGCCAAACAATATTAAGAGGCACTGCATTGCAATGCTTTGCAACGTCTCATTTAAGAGGCCGTTGGTGCCGCTGGCAGGCCTGTGGTGCCCCTGTTAGGCCTCTGGTGCTCCAGAGGGGACACCATAGGCCTGACGGGCCTGTGGTGTCCCGGAAGGACTGTGGTGCCCCTGGGCCCTGACAGCCTGAGGTGCCCCTGACAGGCTTGTGGAGCCCCTGACAGGTCTGTGGTGCCATTGCTGGGTTTGTGGTGCCCCTGGCAGGCCTGTGGTGCCCCTGGCGGGCCTGTGGTGCTCCTGCTAGGCCGCTGGT